GGGCAGCAGTGAGGAGGATTGAGGACTGAGGGCAGCAGTGAGGAGGATTGAGGACTGAGGGCAGCAGTGAGAAGGACTGAGGGCAGCAGTGAGGAGGATGGAGGCCAGCAGTGAGGAGGATGGAGGGCAGCAGTGAGGAGGATGGAGGATTGAGGGCAGCAGTGAGGAGGATGGAGGGCAGCAGTGAGGAGGACTGAGGGCAGCAGTGAGGAGGATGGAGGGCAGCAGTGAGGAAGAGGGAGGATTGAGGGCAGTTGTGAGGAACTGGGGTGCACAAAAATTAGATTCCTTACACTTCGGGAGACCTAGGATACTTGAACAAGAAACAAGGTTATGGCAACATTGTGTTTTATATTAAAAGGCAAACAACTTTAAATACTTGTCACCAGCAATCCCACATTCAAAAGTTCAGGCAAAGTGACCACTGCTTAAAAGCTGGGAATCAATTGCTCTCTCTGAAGTTTTCGATATATGTGCAATGGAAGTGTTTCGATAACATCACATCATATTGAAAAAAAATGTTTTCAAGATGTTTTATCAAGAATTTCAAGTATTCACGGGCAAAAAAAGTGCTCAACTGAAACAATGATCAGCCAGAACATAATCACATGGTTCTCTCATGCCACAAAAACAGCTCTGTCAAACTGAGGTCACATGACTCCCAGACACTCAGGGTTTCCCAGCAGAACATCTCCCAGAGCATCATTTTCCCTCTACTTGCTTGTCTTCTTTCCACAGTGATGCCATCTCTTCCCAGGTAAATGGAGCACACCTGACCTGCTCAAGCACACTTGTCCTGCTGATGCACACCTGACCTGCTCAAGCACACCTGACCTGCTGATGCACACCTGACCTGCTCAAGCACCCCCTGACCTGCCTCAAGACCTGCTGACACACCTGACCTGCTGATGCACACCTGACCTGCTCATGCACACCTGACCTGCTCATGCACACCTGAACCTGCTCATGCACACCTGACCTGCTGATGCACACCTGACCTGCTCATGCACACCTGACCTGCTCATGCACACCTGACCTGCTGAAGCACACCTGACCTGCTCAATTCATGCACACCTGACCTGCTCATGATGCCTGCTCAACACCCTGACCTGCTCATGCACACCCCTGACCTGCTCATGCACACCTGACCTGCTCAAGAACACCTGACCTGCTGAAGCACACCTGACCTGCTCAATCACACCTTAGCCTGATGCATGACCTGCTCAAACCTGAGCTGCTGATGCACACCTGACCTGCTCAATGCACACCTGTTGATGCAAACCTGACTTGATGATGCACACCTGACCTGCTCAATCACACCTGACCTGCTGATGCACAACTGACCTGCTCAAGCACACCTGACCTGCTGATGCACACCTGACCTGCTCATGCACACCTGACCTGCTGATGCCCCTGACCTGCTCATGCATACCTGACCTGCTCAAGCACACCTGACCTGCTGATGCACACCTGACCTGCTCATACATACCTGACCTGCTCAAGCACACCTGACCTGCTCATGCACCCCTGACCTGCTCATGCACACCTGACCTGCTCATACATACCTGACCTGCTCAAGCACACCTGAACTGCTGAAGCACCCCCTGACTTGCTCAAGCACACCTGACCTGCTGATGCACACCTGACCTGCTCAATCAAACCTGACCTGCTCAAGCACACCTGACCTGCTGATGCACACCTAACCTGCTCATGCACACCTGACCTGCTCAAGCACACCTGACCTGCTGATGCATACCTGACCTCCTCAATCACACCTGACCTGCTCATGCACACCTGACCTGCTCAAGCACTTCTGATCTGCTGATGCACACCTGACCTCCTCAAGCACACCTGACCTGCTCATGCACACCTGACCTGCTCAAGTACACCTGACCCGCTGATGCACACCTGACCTGCTCAAGCACACCTGACCTACTGATGCACACCTGACCTGTTCAAGCACACCTGACCTGCTGATGCACACCTGACCTGTTCAAGCACACCTGACCTGCTGATGCACACCTGACCTGCTCAAGCACACCTGACCTGCTGATGCACACCTGACCTGTTCAAGCACACCTGACCTGCTGATGCACACCTGACCTGCTCAATCACACCTGACCTGCTCAAGCACGCCTGACCTGCTCAAGTACGCCTGACCTGCTCAAGTATGCCTGACCTGCTGATGCACACCTGACCTGCTGATGCACACCTGACCTGTTGAAGCACACCTGACCTGCTGATGCACACCTGACCTGTTCAAGCACACCTGACCAGCTCAATCACACCTGACCTGCTCAAACATGCCTGACCTGCTCAAGCACACCTGACCTGCTCAAGTATGCCTGACCTGCTGATGCACACCTGACCTGTTCATGCACCCCCTGACCTGCTCAAGCATGCCTGACCTGCTGATGCACGCCTGACCTGCTCAAAACACACCTGACCTGCTGATGCACACCTGACCTGCTCAAGCACACCTGACCTGCTGATGCACACCTAACCTGCTCATACACACCTGACCTGCTCAATCACACCTGACCTGCTCATGCACACCCTGACCTGCTGATGCACACCTGACCTGCTGCAAGCACACCTGACCTGCTGATGCACACCTGACCTGCTGATGCACACCTGACCTGCTCATACACACCTAACCTGCTCAAGCACACCTGACCTGCTCAAGCACACCTGACCTGCTCATGCACACCTGACCTGCTGATGCACACCTGACCTGCTCAAGCACACCTGACCTGCTGATGCACACCTGACCTGCTGATGCACACCTAACCTGCTCATACACACCTAACCTGCTCAAGCACACCTGACCTGCTCAAGCACACCTGACCTGCTGATGCACACCTGACCTGCTCAAGCACACCTGACCTGCAGATGCACACCTGACCTGCTCAATCACACCTGACCTGCAGATGACCTGCTGATGCACACCTTACCTGCTGATGCACACCTTACCTGCTGATGCACACCTGACCTGCTCAAGCACACCTGACCTGCTGATGCACACCTGACCTGCTCAAGCACACCTGACCTGCTCATGCACACCTGACCTGCTGATGCACACCTGACCTGCTCACCTGACCTGCTGATGCACACCTGACCTGCTGATGCACACCTAACCTGCTCATGCACACCTAACCTGCTCAAGCACACCTGACCTGCACACCTGACCTGCTCAAGCACACCTGACCTGCTGATGCACACCTGACCTGCTCAAGCACACCTGACCTGCTGATGCACACCTGACCTGCTCAATCACACCTGACCTGCTGATGCACACCTGACCTGCTGATGCACACCTTACCTGCTCAAGCACACCTGACCTGCTGATGCACACCTGACCTGCTCAAGCACACCTGACCTGCTGATGCACACCTGACCTGCTCATGCACACCTGACCTGCAGATGCACACCTGACCTGCTCAATCACACCTGACCTGCAGATGCACACCTGACCTGCTGATGCACACCTGACCTGCTGATGCACACCTGACCTGCTCAAGCACACCTGACCTGCAGATGCACACCTGACCTGCTCAATCACACCTGACCTGCAGATGCGCACCTGACCTGCTGATGCACACCTTACCTGCTGATGCACACCTGACCTGCTGATGCACACCTGACCTGCTCAAGCACACCTGACCTGCTCAATCACACCTGACCTGCAGATGCACACCTGACCTGCTCAATCACACCTGACCTGCAGATGCACACCTGACCTGCTGATGCACACCTGACCTGCTGATGCACACCTGACCTACTGATGCCCGCCTGACCTACTGATGCCCGCCTGACCTGCTGATGCCCGCCTGACCTGCTGATGCACAACTGACTTGCTCAAGCACGCCTGACCTGCTGATGCCCACCTGACCTGCTCAAGCACTCAAATGTAGGGAGAAATGGGAAAAATGTGGCATCTTAAGTTACGTCTGTGCGGCATCAGGTGAATCAGCGTCATTGCCATTTTGAATCTTGACTGCCGTCCCTTCATGAGAGTTACAGGCTCGCTCTCCTGCCTCTGACTTTCTCTAGGGAGGGCTGATGAGATCAAATGTCCATATGTGAATAAATTCAGCAGTGAGCAAGGATCAAAATGAGCACTCTGACTGTTCCGCAGCCACAAAGTGTAATACGCAGCAGTTTGTGATGATGTATGTGGTATGTTGTGACACATACCTCACAAAAGAATCATTAAAATTCCCTACAACTTGTATCACAGTTGCCCTTCTGTTGGCTGGGAATGTAAAAGACAACCTCCATTGCCCTTGTGTGGTGTTGAGGCTTGAGCGACCAACACCTTGTCACTGGTTTGGTTTGCACCCCCTTGGACCTCTGGCACTGCTGACTCGGAGCACCCCAGAAGCCATGCCGCTTCAGAGAACCTCTGACCCACTCGTCTGGCCACAACTGTTTGGCCCTCCTAAAAGTCGCTCAGGTCCCATTTCTCCGACATCCAACACGTCAACTATGAACACCGACTATCTGATTATCGTCTAAGGTCCGTCTGCCGACTTTAACATACGCCATTGTTAGATTATCAACAATATTTGCTTGATCGGTGAGTGGATTTAATGTATTGATTCATCAGTGTAAAGAAAACAGTCATTAAAGAAAACAGTTAATCTATTGTGAAAACAAGCAGTGATTCCAATCCTGAGTGCAAATGTAACTCCAGTAATTTTCACACAAACATGCAGACGGCATGTCAAAGAGGTTTTTTTTTTTTTTTTGTGCGTTGTCGAATTCCGCCCTCTTGCGTCCTGTTATACTATGGTTTCACATCTACTTGGGAACTGCATTTTCGTGAAATGCAAATTATAAAATCAAATGAACCGCTATATATTTTCGTACAAGTGGTCATTCTGTTGAACCGCAGTCGATCAAAATTATGATGTAATTTTGATCGACATTCGGGTTTACTTCTTTATAGCAGTATCAAAAGCCATTATATGTTGCAACGTTTCAGTGAAGAGACACATTGTTCCGAAAACCAGGATCAAACCAGGAATCTTCAGATCCTGAGTCTAAAGCGCCACCGACTAAGCCATTTCAACGCATTCACATCGTCTTAAGATAATTTTAATGTATGGTTGTCGATATAAATTATTACGCTTATAATTCGATCAGCATAAGCACACACACTGATGAACGATAACTGTCTGTAAATCATTGTTCGGTTGTCATAAGCCATTTTGAACTCGATACCTTGAAAATTCAAATGGATTTTGACTGGCTGTCAACGGTTCAGCGGGTAAGTCGGTCTAAAAGTTATCCGCAACAATATTATAAGTCATATACGATCAGCTTCCACTTTACTAGGTGCACCGGTCAAGTAGGGGAGACCGGGTCTAGTTGTTACACTTTTTCTTTTAACGGCTGTAGAATTGACATTATCAGGTTTTTGTTATCAATATTCACTATCAAGATAGAAAGTTTATTAGACTACATGACGGATCTGCAGCAACCCATATTCTGCGCATGCGTAATGCTGGTGGGGAAAAAATAGAACCCTGTCACCTGTAACAAACTACCCCATATATGGGGTTGTTTGTTACAGGAGGGGTAGTTTGTTGCAGGTTGTGGGACATTTTGTTACACTAAGAATTTGCTTAAGTGAGACGTGTTTCCCACTTAAGTAGGCAAGTTAAGGGGGATGCCTTACTACTATTATCCCACAAAGCCACAGTAAGGAACCTCTTGAGTCATTCTCTAATGGCATTGCCACGTTTCGTTATTCGTTTGTAGTTTCAAGGCATCTTTCTGAAATACAAAAAGGTAGAAAGTCATTCAGTCAGGTAATTTGATCTTGCCCAAACTGTGACAGGTTTTGGGGCAAGTTCTTACTGTAACAACTTGGGTGTATCAACTAGTCCGTCAGCAACCCTTCGCCATTGTCCCGACATTTTGAAATGTTCCAGCGCAATCTTTACATGGGTGTGTCATGACACAGTGGCTAATGTCTTCCTCTCTCATAATCCAGAAAATCTTGGGTATGTATCAATTACACTTGATGCGAATCAAAATCTCCCAAACACCAAGAAAGTTACTTTTTTGTGCATTTTTCTGAAACACAAACCCGCGACTTTCGACGTAAGTCCTTCTGTCACGTAAAGACGCGGGTCACCTTCGTGGAGCAGCAGGAAAAATTAGAGCGCCGTCTGTGTTTTATTATTGGAACTATGTAACAACATGGTCGTGTAACAACTAGACCCGGTCTCCCCTACCTCCTTCTGCCCTAAGATTAGCCTGATAGGTTTCTTTTGTAGATAAAAGAAGGCGCTGGTCGCATTCCTCGAAGATTCTGGTCCATAATGATGAGACAAATATGTCACAACTGCATGATGTGGTCAGCTGCACGTGCTGCAAATAGTATTTTTCCTCAGTTATTTTGGTTGTTCTTGCGTTGTGTCCCTCACCACCTTGAATACACGTCATCTCCTCTGCACTGTTTCCACAAGAATTGGCACAGTACAGTAAATTGCAAATAAAAACAGAATTATGAAATTGGTACATTCTGCTTTACCTATATTTGGTTGAAAACAATTCAAAGAAAAAAAGTTTCACCATATCCATTTCTGTGACTTTTGTCAATTTTCATAAATTAAAATTTCGTGCCTGCAACACATTCCAAAACAATTGAGACAAAGCAATGGAAAGTCTGAAAAAGTTAGAGAATCTTCAAAAAAAAAAAAATTGTTTGGGACGTTCTACAGGTGAAAAGGTAACAGATGATTTAACTATGATTGGGTATAAAATGAGCAATAACAAAAGGCATTGTCGTTCACTAGCAAGATGGTTGACGTTCGCCACTATGCAAAAACTGTGAACAAATAGTCAAGCAGCTTAAGAAAGATGTTTCTCAATGTGCAATTGCACGGAATTCAGGGGTTTTGTCATCAACTGTCTATAATATGAGAAGTACGAGAGAATCTGGAAAAACTAAGATGTTGCTGAAATGGACATAACTACATTGGCTTGTAAATATTTCCGATAAATATTCAACACAGTTCGTCATGGCATCGTCAAATGCAAGTATCCACCAAGGAAGCCATTCACCAACACATCCAGAGGGACTAGCAGCAACTCCGGGCTCAAGTTCATCTGAAATGGACTGATGCAAATTTCAAAGTAGTGCTGTAGTCTGTCAAGTCCATCTTTGAACTTGTTTTTCAGTCTGATGGACAATTGCATTCTCAGGCCCAAAGAAGAGATAGACCATCCTGACATTTGGGCTTCATACTTAAATGATACATTTACACAAATGTCTAGTATTGCATCGACTACATTAGGTTCACCTGGGTCAAAGGACAAATGCACCCACAATGGCCGACCCAAAAAACTACTTTCTGTCATTGTTGAAATGATTATGCAAGCAAATCAGCAGTTGGAGACATACACCAAACTAAGATTTCTTTGGTTTTTTCTCTAGAACAGGGTTCCCAAACTTGGTCCTGGGGCCTCCGTGTACGCTGGTTTTCGTTCCAACTATAATTGACATTATGGGCTTTTAATAAGCTGTTAATTCATCCTAATTAGGTGCATTTTGTGTTTAAATAAGTTATTTGCTGTCTTAAGCCAAATTTTAGTAGAAATTCCATGTGTGCCATGAAGAATCAACGATTTCAGGTAATAAGATTTTTAAACAGATCAAGTCAGGTACTAAGAAAATCAGTAACCTCCAAATCAGGTTCCTGAACACAGGTGATAAGAATTCTTTCAAAATAATTTGCTTGCTCTCAATAACAAAAACATAACATAAAACAGGTTTGACTCTGTCATTTGCTTGTCTAGTAAATTGTGCATTTTTTGCAGCCATGTTCCCACAGTTTCACCAATAAGGAACCTATTTATTTTCTCCTTTGATTGGGTACATTTTTCTCCCTCTTTTTATGCAGTTTACTCATATCACAATGCGGATGTGGAATTTTTTGCTCAATGGATGTATGCATAACTGTCCAAATACTGCATGTTGAGAGAGGTAACATTGCTGCTCTACATTTAAATGCACCTCATTAGGACAAATTAACAGCTTGTTAAAATCCTGATTGCAGTCAAGGGTGGAACAAAAACCAGCATACACAGGGAGGCCTCAGGACCAAGTTTGGGAACTACTGCTCTAGACAATATCAAACTCCTGGGGGGGGGGGGTGGAAATCTGATTTACAAATGCCATCAGCTTACCTCCTATCCTGGCATCGCTCTGCCTTTCAGTAAATGTTTGTCTCCTCCTCAAGTTTTGGTGGAACATAGTCGTCCTTGGTAAAATGGGCACCGCAAATATGAAGGTTTCGAAAATGTCTTAAGACGTCTGTAGATCCTTAACTCAGACGTAAGAAGCCTCAAATGAGTGATTCTAGAATCAAATTTGGAAATATTCAGAAAAGTCAGTGAGGAGCAATACAAATTTCTGTTGCCACAGTCTTAAATGTACTCGTTCAAACCATCTCACAGAATTTAAGGAGAAAAGTTTGGAGAAAGAATCAATAAGGCCCGTTTCCACCGAAGAAGTTCCTGGTAGTATTTGGGGGGCAGGAACTACCAGTGACGTGCAGTCGGAGGTTAGTTCGGTGAGGCAGAAACCTCCCCTTTGCTTAATTAGCAACCAGACGATTAACTAGTTTAGTTAGACTATTCGGCAGAATGACCGGCCAGTTTAAGTTTCCGTGGCGTTATTACTCAGTATATCGAACCGGAAATGCTCACGAAACTACAGATTTGCGCGTACTTGCTGACAGGAAGCCAGAGACGTGCGGTGGGGTGACGCGGTGACCCAAACTACAGGATTTTGTGAACCTGTTCCCACGTACTATGCCTGATTGACAATCAAAACAATTAAGATCAAGCCTATAGGAAGCCCGTATACTGATCCAGGAGATAATGACAAAAAGATTCATTCACGTATACGCTTCAATTCGAGACTGCAAGGATGGAAATCGAAATAATCAATTAGGAAAAATTCTCGGCTCTCGGTAATTCTGTATATCGTTTAAACATTTTGTTAATCGGATTACGAAAGAAGACTGAAAATAAACGCCCGCTTTTTGTTTGGGTGTAAAAGCGTGTATTTAAAGGAGAATACATTGTATATTGATTAAGCATTGAACTCTGCATACGTCGAACTGTTTTAATATTTGTTGATGACATTGCTTCGGCTTCCTGGAAGCAAGTACGCGCAAATCTGCAGTCCTATGAGCATTTCAGGTTCGATGTACTGAGTAATAACACCGCGGAAACTTAAACTGGCCCGTCGTTCTGCCGAATAATCTTACTAAACTAGTTAGTCATCTGATTGCTAATCAAGCAAAGGGGAGGTTTCTGCCTCACCAAACTAACCTCCACCGCACGTCACTGGGAACTACTACAGGAACGTCCTCTCACTCGGCCCTCTCAACTGCCGTATCTCCACCGAGAGGGCGGCTGCAGGGTGAAGTTGCCTTCAGACATCGATTTCCAGGCTGCTCAGCCTGTCAGGCTGCGTAAACACCGCCCCCAAGTACAACCAATCAGATCGTGAGCTAGATCACAACCAATCCGCTTACGAGGCAGCCAGTTCAATTCGGAAGCCTTTACCGTAAGTGGGCTTAAGAACATTAATATTGTTAAAACGAATGCATTTAATCATGAGTTTTCTCATTAAAGAAACTGATTCGGGAGGTAACGTTAGATATTTCGGCTATTTTGATTATATTAACCAGTGCAAACAAGTGCTTTTTTTTTTCCTTACAGTGAAATTATAGACCTAACCTTAGCTAAACAGGTCATACTTAAACACTTATACAATATAACTTTAAGTATAACTCTGAAACATAAACTTGTGAGATTTTGTTCAATAAGCTGTCTAGTTGAGCTTCTTAAAAACTTCAACTGCAAGTTGCTGTAACGTTAACTGCCTTCAAGGCTGATTGTAGAGACTAGTGCCTTGCAGGCTGGTTAGAAGGCTAATGTTGATTTGATATTGTATAATCTTCAATAGTATTGCCTCAGATGCCTTCAAGGCTGATTGTAGAGACTAGTGCCTTCCAGGCTGGTTAGAAGGCTAATGTTAATTTCATAT